TGAGCACGACATCTGGTGGACAATGGAGTGCCAACAGCACCAGCGCACCAAACAGTATGCAACTACGACACATTCGATTCCCTCCAAATGACGGTCAGCCTTCGCAGCAGAGCACTTCAACTCAGGTGCAGCCATACCAGGGAGGCACCGCGGTCGGATTTGAGTCGAGATATCTTAGAGAGACCACTCTTGCAACGCGGTACGCGCCCGGTGCATTCTTCTCTTTTGTCCTACGATCGCCAAACGACCAAAACCATCATATGTTTGTTTCCGCCCCTCACTCTGGGTTACTGGGTCAGCGAGAAAGCTCGGAACCTCCACGATACACCGAGACTGGCTTGTATACAGAACTCATAGGCAGAGTACAGGACATTGGTTTGGTGTCAGAACCCTTTTCGGCGAGGAATGAACCTCTTGGCTTCGGCAATGAGCTTTCGACCCAATTCGACAAACCCCTGTGCGAATATGCAATCATCACATCGCACGGCATCGAGACGGTCCGACGGAGAAGACTTGTCGACATATTTGCTTCCATTGTGAAGAACGGAGGCCAGGAGGGTGCTGAAGGCGACATCCGCAAGCTCGCGAAGCAGTACGGTTTGGCCGAGACTTCTGCTACGGCTTTGGCTGTCGCGTGCGGTCAAGGCTCAGACGTCGGACCCGATTCGCGCATCGCGAAGGTTACTGATCCCGAGGTCATTGATTTTGCCCGTAGAGTCTTTATTGAATTTGGTGGGAAAGCACATCTGACAGAGAGCGCGACAGTAGAAGGTTTGAGTGTAGAGAATGTCCGCGCCTCACCGAGACACGATGGTATTGCCATGTATGTGTCGCGCATTGTCCGGTCCATCTGGAATACCCCTATCATCGCGGAGACTGCTACACCGACCGGACCCGCCCTCACATCGACACATCCAATCGCCAAGTTGCAAGAAGTCCAGCGTTCTTTGGCTCAACTTCAAGAGTTCCTCGAATCGAACAGGTCTTTTATTGAAGGCTTGGCTGGTCCAGAGGCACTCGGACGTGCAACATCGCGACAAGAAGAAGTAGAGCTCCAAGGCGAGAACAGGGCGCTCAACAGTTTGTTGCAGATGATTAACAACATTGTTGAGGGAATATCCTTTGTCCTGGTACTCTTTGAAGAGCGTTTAGAAGATATCCTGGTATTGCTGCCAGATCCTCAACTACAAGGAAGAGTACGCCAACTCACCTTCCACGGTCTTTTCTCTGTCAAAGAAGGTAAAGAGATCGCAAGAGAGCTTGTCAAGGCTATTGTAAACCGCAACATCACCAAGGGTTCCAACGTTGAATCAGTTGCCGAAGCTCTGCGGAGGAAGTGCGGCAGCTTCTGCAGCTCAGACGATGTTGTCATCTTCAAGGCGCAAGAGAGTCTGAAGAAGGCCGCCGATTCTGGCGCAAATGCCGAACGTGGACGCATCTTGCTCAATGACAGTCTGAGACTGTTCGAGCAGGTGGCGAAGAGTCTGAGCTACGAGAACCTGGCTGCTACAGTCAATCAGTACATTCAACTCGAGTTCTATGCTGGTAAGCTCAACTGACTATCCGTTCTTCGACAGTACTAACGTGCCACTTAGGTGCTATTAGACTTGCCCTGAAGGTGGCTCAGGAATGGGATCGAGGTAACAAAGCGTTGTCTTGGATTCGAGACAAGAGTGATAGCAATGTCGACTCGAATGACGCGCGCCGAGAATACTTCGACAAGCGCGCCTCTTGCTACACGTTGATCTGCAAGGTTGTCGAAGCTGTGGATCAAGCGTACAACACGCAGGGCCCCGTGCCCGATGGTGTCATTTCACAGGTCACTCGTCGCAAGCACGAAGCTTACGAGCAGATCAACAACTCAGACGATGAGGTTTTCCAAAACTACTTGTACGATTGGTACATGCAGAACGGCTGGGCCGAGCGATTGCTGGAGATCAATTCTCCTTTTGTAGTCGACTACTTGCGGCAAAGCTCTGAGACAAACCTGGCACACGCGGATTTGTTGTGGCGTTACTACGCTCACTACAACGACTACCTCAGCGCTGCTGAGACACAATACCAGCTCGCCAAGAGCACCCTACCCCTGACACTGGAGAAGAGGATAGAGTATCTGTCGCGCGCAAAGGCCAATGCCTCTACACGGATGAATGGCTTCGCGGAGAACGGGGTACGCAACAGGCAGTCAAGACAGGAGCTCCTAAGAAACATCACCGATCACTTGGACATTGCAAATATTCAAGACGATGTCTTACAAAGAATCAAGGGCGATGAGCGACTTGCTGGGAAGCGAAGAGAAGATGTCATTGATCACCTCAACGGCCAGATCCACCCTCTTGACGAAGTAGGTTTCTTATGATACATCACTAGTGATGACTTTACTAATACTTCTCTAGCTTTACCACGACTATGCCGATCAAGCGGCATACTACGACATATGCCTACTGATCTACCACGCTGCCGACTACCGCAGCGTACCCGATATCCGCTCGACGTGGACTAATCTTATTGACCAAACTCATCGGAATGCTCTGGCTGATCGTCAAGGAGCTCCTTGGGAGATCGTCGCACTGAAGGTCGAGGACCTCGGTCACCGTACCAACCTTAACGACAACGTTTTCCCAGTGAACATCGTCCTGCAGCTTCTTCTCCAATACGACCTCGAGTTCTACGTACACGATGCTAATGCGCCGAATGCCCAGAACCTTGCACTCAACTCCAACCTCACGTGGCCGATCGATGTATTCCTCAAACTTCAAGCGCCATTTGAGAACCTGGTCGCCACTCTGGAAGCACTATGGTATGCACAGGAACAGCCTTTCGCTGGTCGTAACCGCAAACTGCTTGTTAAATGGATCATCTACCTCGTAGAGCAGTGGGGTGCAGTAAGCAGACGAACTGGCGCGTTATTTGGTGGTCCTGAGAACGCTATTGGTCTTGCGGAAGTAATGCGCATCATCTTGAGCAGCGATGTCTTGGGGCGAGACATGGATGATCAGGCTTGGATCCAGCGAGCGAGGGATCTCAGTGCCACGCTCGAGGAAGCTGCGCGCTGAGAAGCCGTGAGCTGAAGAGAAGGGAATCGGAGTGAGAGCGTTGTGGAGATATACAGAAGCGATGATTGCGTATTTTGGGTTGTTTTCTCTTCGTTAGCATTCTTGCAGCGCGAGGCGTTGAATAGGTGGCATGAGGATGGGATTGGCGTCAAAAGCATTGAATGTATTACAACCAATCTTGTAGGACATAAGACGAAGACGGAGCATAATCAAGGCTAGCGTATTCTTGAATGAAATATTGTAATGGAAGGACATTTGACTGGATCTATAAGACGTTTTGGCAGTGCTGATCTAGCAGCGAATCTGATGTCGGACTTTAGCAAAGCCCCACAGCCAAACACCGTGCCGAACGCTTTCCACAAGCATCGTCACCTTCCGCATCCTCTCCAACACTCCGCGACCTCACATCTCGCGTCGCAAGCAACAAACACACACCCGTCCTACCTCCTTGCGCCATGTAACAACCGCACAGACTACCATTCTCTGCGATGCCAATATGCATATCCTGTCGCACCCCCGTGCGCACGCTCTACACGACCTACTCCAAAGCCGATGACCGAGCCCTGGGAAAAGGTGTCCGCCTAACGCAATGTCCTGTGTGCAAGAAGTTTGCAGACAAATACGTTGAACATGACTTTGTGGTTCTGTTCATTGATCTGGTATTGATCAAGGCGGAAGTGTATCGGCATTTACTGTTCAATCGATTGGGAAGGGACGATAGTCGTTTTGATGCAAGTATTCATTCACGTGTTGGAGCAAGGTTAGGGCTAATACAAGGTCTAGCGCTCGATCTTGAGACTGGGAATACTGCTTCTCCTCTTCGACGTCTATCTAACATGGGCGCGTATCGAGAAGTTAGCTCTCCCTGCCACATCTCCATACCATCCTTCGCCGCCCTCCCCTTCTATGAACATGACGTCGACCAGCCCGCTCGTGCCACCACATGACGGGATAACGAATGCGGTGGTACTGCAAGCACATCCGCTTGGCCTGCAATACCTGTTCTTCCTCTGTCTGGTCACGCTGTCTACACTGGCTTTCCATCTACCGATACGTGTACTGTGCGCCTTTGATGCGGAGCGTCTACCTGGTGCAGCGCGCAGACTCTGGCAAAAGTGTATACCGTATTTCTCCTCTCCGACGCCTTTGTCAACTGCTCTACTTGTCAGTAGCTGCACAAAGTTGTTTCCCATACTGCTGATCATCTGGGATTACGATTTGCCTAGTTCGGCGACGGCAGTTAGTTGGGCGGTGATAGTGAACAACATCGCTGCGCTGGAGATACTCATGGATTGTGGATACATCAGAGCGGGTATGTTGGTTGGTATTGGGGCTGGGCTGAGAACGCTGGTGGGATGGGGTATATTGAGAGCTGCGGGTTTGGGGACTGGATGGGAAGGATACTTGAGTGAATGGACGATTGCTGGCAATGTGTGGGATTGGGTCGGAAACGCGGTTCGGTAAAATAAACATGAGCGTTCTGGTTGCAAACAATGATACCCATTTGATATTTGTACAAGCCAAGAAGCTCCGTAATACGCCAAACCAATTATACACATGCGCTTAAATGTTCATCAATGCACTGCTTTGGTTGCCCATAGCCAACGACACTAGATGTAGTTCGCCAGTACGCAGTTGCTCCAGCACGATGCATCCTTTCGGTACATGCTTTGGTGCTTTCTGTCGTCAGGTGTAGGCTACCCCAAACCGTCGTTGTTACATGCATATTCCTCACGCCTTTATGATCCACAAACGTAATGCGCTAGCGTCCTCCATTGTATTCTGGCCGTAAGTCGCCTCGGATAGGCGAGATAAGAGGGTGGAGTTGCGCGAGGAAGGTAATAGCCCACATGATGTACATGGCAGCAGCAGACAGAACGAGCGTAGATCGCCAGACCCTATCCAATCAAGTTAGCTCAATATCTCTCACTTCCTCCCTGCTTCTCAAGTTCTCATCTCAGATGTAGACGGGGAGGTTTGCTCGCTGTCGTTGCCATCGCTGCTCGTGTCGTCGACGAAGCGGACGCGCCTGCCTCTACCAGCACTTCGATCCTCGGGGTTGGCGAGGGGCAGCTCCAAAGAGGACTTGGTGCGCAAACAGGGCTTTGTAGGTGTGGGTGTGGACTTGGGCGAAGGGATGTTGTGAACGTACGTTTGGTTTTCGCCTTTGGGAGCCAGGAACCACGCTGCGCCGCAGAAGATGACGGTGACTATGAGCCCGATGATAGGTGCCCAGCTGTCTTGTATTAGTTTGATGCTAGCTGTAGAGCTGCTTTGCGCGGAACTGACCCGTTCGCCATTGTGGTTGCTGGGTGATTGATGCGCTAGTTCGACCGTGTATAGGGTTGTGTGTGTGGCGATGCGACGGCTTGCTTCAGCGCAAGCTTGTTGTCAACGGATGCGGTGGTAGAGTGGATGTAGCGGGATGGCGATGTGGAGATGCCTTTGGCGTGGAGTTGCGAGCTTGGGAAGCTGCGATGACGCCTATCCTCTCAGGGCGCGTTCCACGCTAAACGCCAAGGATCACGTGTTGTCCTCATTGCTACATAGACGGCCTCCAAAGGTCCTCCAACAGGTTCTCCATCTCTATCTTGACTTCACACGTACTCTACCTCACTGAAACTCTCCTCTCTCAACATAGACGTGTTCAGGGAGCCCATGGATATCACGCTTCATTTATGCTCATATTGTTAGTCTTGCTCTCACATGCTGTTACTATCCCAATACGGTAGGTCTTTGTGCTCTTCCCACACCTTTTCGCCTCATTTCATGGCGCAGGCACCAGCTGGGCTTTTGGTCCGACACCTATTCCTCTCATGATTTTCCACCATCGTCAGTACGTTCTTAAGTACGAGACATGTCCTTGTATCACATATTCACCTTCATCCCACCTTTGCTGACACTTAGATTTCAAACTTCTACGACTTCCTAACATGTTGACGAGATGCTCTCAACACAACAGTACCCTCACATGGAAGCCGCCGACTTGAGAGTTGCTGAACCAGAGCCTTCCTTTTGCCTCAACGATGCGACCAATCGCCGTGCTCAACTACCCGCTCTTGCAGTTTTGGGGAAAGACTTATTATAGCCTCATACTTTTACCTGGGAATTCCATCGTCCACGCGTCTCTCCAGCCTCACTATGGCATGATAAGAGTCTTGGAACTACATTGTAGATCGAAAGGCGCCTGTCCGGTGAATATACCTGGGGTCAGGCACAAGGCTTGGCAAACCGATTTGGGATGCAGGTACGATGCCTTATCAGATGAATACATGTACCATCTCCGGATCTCATCCCAGACAAGTACATATAATATCTCAAGTATTACATTGTACTTGTAGAGTTCGACAGATACCCCGCCTGGACACTTACCAATGACGGACGATATGGCGCACTTGCGGTGTGACAGTGCCGCAATTGTCCCGCATATCGCACGAGTTTACTGCACAAACCCCGGGAATCTTCGGGAAGGCCTTTCCATGGATACTACCGCTCCGACAGCTGCGTCACTGAGGGATGATATATAATCAAGGGAATCATTGCTGTTTCCTGGATAATACGATCGACGCAGACTCGATCTCGATACTTGGGAGCTTGGAACAAAACGAAATAACAACTATTTTCGGCCCCGCATCAAGACTTCTGGAGGACCATGTTCACCGTCATCGGATGATGTTTGCCAACACCTGCAGGCAGGTAGGCGATGGTTCCGGCTGTTTGTGAGGCCAATAAGCTTTACAGCCCCAGACGCGAAGAGCCAATAGCGGAGTCTTGCTTCAGTCTTTTGCTGCAGACTTCGCAACATTGTGGTCTTCAATATTTCGAAGGATTAAGCAAGGAGTATCCTGCCTACAGCTCTGCCACTGTTCATCGCGGTAAATGTTTTGAAATGCCTCTACAAGCTAGCATTGAGGTTCCGCATTACTTGTGGACGAGCAACTGCCTCACTTTATGTGTGATCGTCGATTAGTACACACGCTATGCCAAGTTGCCGGAATGGCTTTGTGCTTTTTGTAGCCTAGGCATGCTGTCGAGCGCGCCGCGACTGTGTAGCATCACACCAAATGGCAAACGGTCAGTCGCTCGGCGCAGTCATGGATGTTCTACGCAAGCTAACGAGTCGAGTCACCATCGCTATCGCCTGACAAAATGTGCAGGGTAGAGCGCCTAATCTAAGTAACGTCGGCATCCAAGGATAAGATCTCTGGCTTGCAATGATACGTGGCGTCATTTATCCTGGGGTTCTATTGAATGCCCTAGAAGTACGCCAACTCACGTTAGTGCTAGGATATAAAGCTGCTAGTTGCAGTTGCAAAGACATGGTAACTCAATGTCAAAGCTTTGTACGTACAGCAGTCGCTAGTCACTCCAGTCCTAGCACGACGGCATATCAGCATGCACGTCGCCCACACTACATTTGGAGCTTTTTCATCTGCTGCCTCGTCCCAGAGCCTCATCTCAGTTCAAGTAAAACCTGGCCACGTTTCGCAATTCTAAACTTATCTTTGAAGTCCTTGTTCAATCAGGTTTTTTAACCTCAGGCCGAAAGACTGCATAAAGTCCTCCCACGTTTACGAAACTAGAATTGGCAAATATTCCTGATTGAGTGATCAAGCCATTTGATAGACTATATCGTCAGAACGCCACTCTTTGCTGCCCTACACGACGCCAGTATGGAAGGTGATGACATTGTCTTCGTCGAGAACGTGTCATCTACTCTGGATCACAGCAACCATCCAAAGGAGGGAAGAGTCGAAACGTGTAAACCTGGAGAATTTACAAGACATGATAGGAATGTTCCTGTTCGTATTGACCCCGGTTTTTCGAGTCTGGCGAACGATTGTCCTCCATTGTCATCCCCAGTAAGTTCTCTCTAACGCAATATGAAAAAGGGTTCTAACATTTGCAATAGCCACCTCCTCCACCTGTACGTTACATAGTCTTCCCAGTTTATTATGATAAGCTGACAGCAGAAGCCTCCGCCACCTCCACCACCTCCACCACCTCCGCCGCCTCCCGGTATGCCGGCCTTTCCTAGTATGATTGGAATGGCTCCTCCCGCTTCATTTCCACCACCAGTAAGTCAGACGTATTCTCGGGATATCCGATGCTGACCCTTCTAAGCCACCACCCCCACCACCCGAGCCGTCCGCTGGCCTAATGGGGACATCTTTCAATCCTACGGCAGAAGTTGACACGCCGAACCAGTTCATCCAGGTGCAATATACGAGCGAGTCTATCTCTGACTTTCCAAGCCGCGTAATTCGTATCGCGCCCTTCCGCCGCAATGTCTTGATGACGAGGCCTTCGGCTCACGTCGCAGATTACAAGGAGTTTGAGTGGCTTCTGAAACACGGCAGTTCCGAGATCTGGTATGAGAAGCCTACCAAAGCACATCTTAGAAGTATCAGGACGCTCGAGGCGAACTGGTGGGCTCCGGACGAATTACTTCCTCTGCTCAACGCACGGCCAGTCAGCCTGGAAACTCCCAAGGTATGGGCGTCAGCAGCGATGACAACACCGACAGATGATGATATCTTTGAGTGCACTGGCGGACATACTACCCATGATGGGTATGCTGGAACATGTCGTGAATGCACTGAGACAAAGTCTGAAGTACTTGAAAGCGTTCCGCTCATCTACTGCTTAGTCTTCAGCACTTGTCAAGCTAGCGACCCATTTGTTCATGGTGCCCACTTCAATGGCCGCCAGATCTACAAACTTTTCAAATGCGGTAGTCGCGAGGCTGCTGTCGCGGAAGCGTTCTATGCGGCTGGAGTCAATGGCTGGAGTCTCGCTTTTAGCTGCGTGATGAAGCTAGGTGAAGAGTTTGAAGAAAGATCTGGGACGGCCAAGAAGGTCAATGAACTGTGGATGCTGGCTGAAGAAGACGACGACCAAAAGACCATCAAGGTTTTCTACTAACCAACAAAAAAAGCAGCTTGTTTTTGGGTCTGATTTACTTTGAGCTTCTGTAATTCTTTTCGATAAATCTCCTCCTCTCCAAATCCGCAACTTCCGGCACTACCACGACAACAACAACTTGCGATTATCGACATAGTCAGCCAGGCCCCGGCACATACTCAACCAAAGCTGCTGGAATGGACCCACTCAGACCTCGTACCACCTCTGACGCACGACATGGAAACTCATGTATGGCCTAGAGGTATATGCAATCCAATTTGAGGCGCATATACTGGGTGTTACATGCGTGCCTCAATCGGTCCCTTGTACGCCTAGTACAACATTGTCACCTGCCAGCAGTATCGTCGAATCGAACAAAAAATCGGCGATTAAGCATGACCAAGTGCAGGTTACAATCTCCTCCAATCGGCGTGGCCCACGATAACTGGCGTGTTGTACAAAGCTAAACCCTCTTCTGCTTCTTCACTTGCTGCACGGCTCCTTCACATTCGGTGTCCATATCAATATCTCTCGTCTCTTATCTCGATACAGTTTCTTTTCACTATGGCGTTTTTAGGCGTTCTTGTTGGGATACGTGTAAGGCTGTACGATAGGAACGATTAGCATTCGGGCTAGGGCGCTATCGAGCTGGCATCGGCGTCACGGTAGACATGTGCTAAGTGATCATTATTACGCACATGCTGTTGAGAATCTTGGTGGAGCACGAGGCGTACAAGTATAACGTTGTTTTTGTATTTTACACGATTTCTCAGGCGGACGGACATCATTGTGGTACAATATTCCAATGCCAATTATCTAAAATCGATGTGGTGCATAACCCAATCCATGCATAGTGATGTGTTCATCGCATGGGCTCCGATTATCAATAGTTGTTCTCGTGTAAGTTTGGCCTCAGTCCCTTCGCTTCATCTGTGCTCTCTGAGATTGCTGCTTATGCCGGAATGCATTGGGTCTTCATGCCAAAGCATTTCATGGCAACATCCTTAGATTTTTATTCTAAGATGGACGGTTTCACAGCTCCTTCTTTGTCACCGGTTTCAGTCCCCGGTGTAGTTTTGCGATCGTCTGATCCAGCCTGGCATAGCAGTCTAAAGTCATGAAGATACCTGCACCTGTTAGCTTCATGGAAAAAATACCTCGCGTTCCTTTCAGCGATATTGGTGAGCTCAAAGCCCTTATAGGCAACTTACCGGCTGCCAGGTAACCCCCGTACATACCGCCCAGCCCCTGCACACCCCTCTGTGCCGACGTCAACTCATCCCAACTCAGCATTTCTGCCAAACAGACCAACGTCGTCAAACTGGTCTCCATACCGAAGACCAGCAGGGCAAGAGGGACGCGTGGATCATTGCGCAACAAGGCGGGAATGGCCCAT